GGTTCACAAAATCAGTCCAGACTCCGGCTTGTGTGCCCTGACACTTGGGTCAGCTCCCCTCTCTCTTTCTGAACTCAAAGTAGCTGCTCCTGTCAACTCGCATGAGATGAAGCCAAGGCCAGGCTGATAGACCTGAAGGCAATTTCCGCTGCTGCTCCCAGTAAATATCTCAGCCACAAAAACCTGGAGACCTGCCACCACCTCCCTCCCCAGATTGCACTGAGATTCCCTTTAATTAGGCGTGACACACGCAGCCCCTAAGGATACCGGCTGGAGAGTATTAATCGCCTTGTCCCTAAACAAAACTCAGCCTGCCCAGAACAGACACTCGGAAACACCGCTCACGCCCAGGAGGGGCTTTGATTTCTCAAGCCTGTGCTCTTTACAGGTGCAGCAATCTGAAACGTGTCACCCAGCCTGGGGCGGCTCCACCGGCTCAGTCTGTAAAGGTGCAGGCTGAGTCCCGCAGGCCAGACAACACCAGACTGGGTGCAGTTCCTGACAGCAGCCAGCTCTAACAGGGATTCCCCAGACAGGGGGGTACAACTGTGCAGAGCGCTGGACAGGGTCCTCTTGGCCGATTTCCTGGACACCTGCAGGCCCGTCAGCGGGGAGACGTGTCGTTCCTCCATGCGGTCCTCTCTCTCGCTTCCCGGGTTTGCTCCAGGCTTTTAAAATTACAAGAGCAAGTCCCCACCTCCACCACCCCCCGTTTAAAATGTCTGATTCAGCTTCTTTACCAAAGCAAGGTGTTGTCTCACGAGCAACATGCTTATTTTGGTTTGTTCTAGTAACCTTGGAGATAAGTTATTACCCAATAAAGAGCTGGAGGAAGTAACTTGCATGTAGGAGGAACACACGCAGACTCCAAAGAAGAGTGTCCCGGCCCGTCTCTCGGCTCCCAGCCCTCCAGTACCGGAGGATGGGGATGCCGTCTCCATCAACACTGCAGCACGACCAAGGCAGCACCAGACCCTACTCAGACTTCACACAGATTTGAGTCTTCAAGCAGCGTGTTGGCCTCTTCGTCATTGGCGATTGTATAGTTAGCGATGACGTGATCGAGTCGCCAGCAGTATCTGTGCAAATGTCTCAGACTCATAGCTCATGAATCCTAGTTATTAATCGCAATTCTATTGGTCAAGAGCAAATAATTCTGAAGCAAACGTGCCTTCCCTATCTCCTCCTGTCTCTGTTCACTTCCAGTTTCTCCAAAATCTTTTCTTTAAGGGACTGGATTCCATCTCAGGAGGTTTTTAACTTCCTATTAAATTCCTCATACTTTATGAAGACATTCATATCACTCTTGGGGTTTAGATGTACTCATAAGTCTGGTTTAACTAACCCTAATTATCAAAAAGTATGAGTGGTATTACGATACTAAACCTTGATTTATAGCACACCATCACCACGCATGACTAGATGTAGCATTATTTTATGGTGGAAATATAGAAATCAAGTAGAAATTTCTATTGCATGTGTCTAACACAATGAGGTGTTTTCCAATGTGAGGAACTGTGTTTCTCAGCTAGTTTTACAGCCTTGTAGCAGACCACAAAGTCCAAGAGCACTTCAGAGAACTAAACCTCCAAAAATCAATTTTCAGAAACATTCAAACCTCAGGTAAGGCCATCAACCCTCTTCCAAATGCAACAGCGACACTCTTTCAACGCCCTGTACAGCAGGGAGAACAGAACTGAAACAGGACAATAACAGCCCAGAGAAATGAAGAAGCACATGAAAGCTGTCTGAATGATGCCTTTAAACCCTGAAATGGCAGCCCTTTGTTTGTGTAGCACTGTTGCTTTTAAGATATGAGCGTTCAAAGGCAGCCTCTGCTTTTTTTGCTGGGAAAATTAATTCCTCTGCCTTTCAGCTATTATTAATGTCGTTTTCACACAAACATCTACCGCTGTAGCACTTTCAGGTTTCATATCTCAAGCTGAGCACGAAAGGTATCTTTGGGGGAAAAGAAAAAAACTTCTTCTAGATGCCAGTGATGCAACCAGCAATTATTTCAATTTCACTTGAGGCGGTTCCTCAATTTATTAATACAAAAAGAGGAAATGTAATTCAAGTGATGCTCTGTAAGGTTTGTAGGTTATCCGGAGAACTGCTAATGCATCAGCTACAAAGCCAGTTTGCACATGAATTCAGCTCAATGCCAGGATTCTTCAGCTGTCGCAATGTTACAAGGGTATGTTGTCGTGTTGGCAAATTGCACTGCTGTGTGGCCTTACAGACAGTGTGCAGAAAATCTGGCCTTAATAGAAACTTCTCAGCAGATAACCAGCTGGTAGATGTTGGAATGACGGTTTTGCAACACCGGCATAGTAACCAGAAATGACACTGAACATATCAGTACACACACTGCATCAAGGGGAGAACACTGTACTGCACTATATTTACTCAAATGATTTTGTGTGCTTTCTTGTAGCAGATACTGTAAACTGTTCCTCGTGAGGTACTGAAGATTTTGTAACCAGCAAACTACACAGAATTTGTTAATAGCAACAATGTCATAAGATTAGGTTCTGCTGTTTTGTGTTCAGATTCCTTTTATTTTATTTCTGAGTAAAAGAACAACAATGTAGGCAATATTAAACTATCAACTACTACATACACTTTTAAAGTGCTCTAATGCAACAAAAACAAAATTGATTAATCAAGAAACATTCATTTTAATTCTTTTAAACTACAACAATCTTTGGCAACTTTTTTAGAATGTCAAAATTAATGGTGCAAAACTAGATTTACATTTAAATATACATCAAAAGGCATAGCAACCTTCTTGGCAACAAATGCAACCTTTTTTAAAGATGAATCTGTTAATCAGCTGTCAGGAAATCGGTATAATTTATAATTTACCAGTAAAAGAATCATTTCAGTTAAAGAACCTGTTTCTGTCATCTGTGCTTCTAAGTTATTAAAATCCTCAGTTGTAATTGCCAAAGAGTATTGAAAGTTCTTCTGTTTACACAGGTTTTGTGTCAGGTGGTTTAGTAATCCAGACAAACAGGGACATTTCAGTCCAGCAAAGTCATGGGGGAACCGGATTATCACTGCACAGAACATTTAGACACTTTCCCATCTCTCTGCGTCATATCCAGCCTTGAGGACTTCTGTATGAAGGGCTTTTTTTATACCATAGATAAGGTACATTTCTCATCTACTGTATATATCAAATGACATCAAAAGGGTGCAAAGGAGAGCAAACATGGCTGTCTAGAACTCTTGGCAAAAAGGTACGAAAAGTTAAATTTCTAACTTCTTTACAACATTCCAATTCTAAATCGCCAGGTGGAGAGGGTTAGAGAGACTATTCATTTGGGATGGGATGGACGTCTCCGTATCTGGTATCCTGTGTTCCAGTACCACTCCATTAAGCAGCCAGCCCCCTCCTATTCATCACACAAACACACACAGGCACAATGTTTACAGACACCACCTCCGTGGTTCAGAACTATGAGGTGGCTAGTAAGTCCAGATGCTTCTCCAGATTTCAGTGGCTGAGGAGGTAATCAATCATTTCATGTAAACCTTTCTTTCTTTACTTCTGTTCTGCCAATTTAAAGACTGGGAGACAACAAAGGAGCAACAATAAGACAAAAATTTACTGGAGGACTTAGTATGGGTACAGAGCATCCAAGTTCAGAATAGCTCTAATGCAGCCGAATATTTGCCAGAGATCAGTTTTCACAGCCTACGCAGGATAAGTGGGAAAAGATCATCCCTCACAACACATCCGCAGCAGAAGAGGATAATGGGATTCCCCCAGGGGAATACTAGCTTGTGGGAATCTGGAACATCATCCATGTCGCGGTCCACATGAGACTACCGGCTCCCTCTACCACTTGTTATTTAAGTTTATTATAACGCTGGAGGGGGGGGGGGGTAGCTTTCAGCGGTGGACTCCCGGAGGTTTCCTGACAGTTAAATGAGGTTTTTCCTCCCCCCTGTGCTGTGCATCTTATTCTACGCGTGGTTCTTCCTCGGTTGACATCCAAACCCTAGAGGGCGCTCCACTTCATTCTTGTCCCTAGTTCCATGTGATTATTCATGTCCTTCCGCTGTGTCTGGTTTCCATTTCCTATTTAGACCCTGTGTCTCCAGTGTTCCTGGCTCAGCATTAGGGTACGGATGTCGCAAGGCCCACCTAGCACCAGGTCACCCCACGTCCGTGTCCTGATGACATAGGCCTCATCCCCGACATCGCCTGACCCCTGAGCCCAGAGCACACCTCTGTGTTTGTGCCGTTTTTGCCTCTACTGCTCTTTTGTGCATTCCATGGCTGGCCTTTCTGGCGTCTATGACAATCCAGTCGTGTTGTTGAAGCCAAGATCCAGGCTTCTTTTCATAAACAGCTGGATGAGATCTTTAGATCTGCCACTAAATGTATAACAGCTACTAAAATCCAAAAGAGATGGAATGTCTGCAAACTTCCTTGTGTTCTTAAGTGAAAACTCAATCTCTTGTCTGCTGGCTATATGAAGAAACTATATGATGGACAAGGCATTATTAGAATATAGGTGACCACACTATATGGTTGTAGCCAAGGCTGAAAATCACTTATTACTGTGTTACAAACAGGATAATATCACAAACACTCATTAATAAATCATTTGTAAAACACCATCTATTGAATGCCAATGCATATCGTGATAAAGATTTATACTTCAGTTCTTGACTCTTAACTTTTCTTTTGCTTTTTTATTTTTCACATTATAAACGAAGCATGTTCAGTAAATATAAAACCTGCTGGGTTCAACATCCCTAAAGTAACTCTGGAGCTCTTTATTCAATAATAAAATCGTGGGCCCATTAAAACATATACACATTACAGATTTACCTGGCGGCATTCCTGCCTCAGGACTGCAGGCCAGTGGCAAAGATTCAATGTTAAATTCAGCGCCAGTTCTCAACTTCCACTGATCCCATTCTGAGGTATCAACAGACGAGCATCCTAACACCCATTTGATAACAGAATGCAATGCAATTACCTTCTGTTCTGATGGTGAATGGAGAATCTCCCAATCGCTTGGATGAAAATTGGCCCCCCAGGGATGTCATTAAAAAGCACAGACTGAAGAATCCAATCCCAACCACGAAAATCCTAGAACAGAAATTTACAAAACAAAAAAAAACATGAAAAAGAAAGTGAGTCTGGAGAGTCAGCTTCCTGAAGCAAGGCTTTTTTTAAATAGAACTCTGAATACTCCAAATACAGTGCGACAACAACTGAATCATGGTTAAAAACTGTTTCTGCCAGTTTCCCTAGTTTATATGCTTAGGTGGAAGATTGGGTAGAGTAAAGAGAAAGGTGAATGGAATCATCGCTTCGAGTCAATGTGCTGCTCAAGGTCTTGCCCATGAGCCCAGGGCTAAAGGCACAAAAATGACCAGGCCTGCCAATTTAACCTGAGCAGTGATTCTGATGTTGTGACTAATTACTAATTAAGGAGGCTTAACCGCACATAATTTGACACTACTTTAATCTTTTGTGTTTCCCCCATTTTTAAATTAAAGTTCCATAATGTCCCCCAACTGGAAGTGCACCAGCTCTGCGTTCCCGATTCCCAAACCACGCACCTGCCCTGAGAGGCGGCTGGGCGCCACACACTGCGAGGGAGAGAGAGAGGGGAGAAAAACCTCCTCTCTCCAGGAGGTGCTCCGGGTGCCTGCAGCGGCTGCTCAAATAGCGTATTGAAAGACCGGCGTGACCTTTCTTTCTGCTCCTTTCTAATTAGGCCCAGTGACTGAAAGTAAGCATGAAGTAGTTCAAGTAAGTAGCACCGTCAGCATGCGTAGGCTGCAAAGGAACAAGTAATAAGTTTACTCCCCGCTGAAAAGAGAAGACAGGAAACACAACGTTTGGGCTGTGGAGCCTTCTTCGGGGGACCTCACACCCGAAGAAGGCTCAACAGCCGATACGTTGTGTTTCCTTTCTTCTTTTTTCAGCAGGGAGTAAACCTTTACTTGTTCCTGAAAAAAAGCATGGTGGCAATGGCCATTTTAACGTTCTTGAGCAGCTAGTCTACAGCAAATTGGAATGACACCCTCCCGTCCCCCACTGCACGGCTCTATTTTCTGGCTAAGCCCAGGACCCCTGGCAGACCCAAGCACCCTCCCTCCTAAGGGCAGCAGGCTAGTCTCCATCTATGTCCTCCACTGTCCAGAGCTAATAGCAATCTCAGCACAAGGCATGTTGTCCCATCAGGCCCATGTAATCCCTTAATTCCTTTTTCACACATTAAGCAAATGCACTAGGTGAGACTGGTACACATGCACGCTGTTTCAATGGATATTAACTCACACCCCACCCCCTGCTTCTCGCTCTAGTGCAGTGGTTCCCCATCCTGGTCCTGGTGCCCCAAACGCCTGCTGGTTTTCACTGTAAGAAGCTGCTTCGTTGGAATACTGCCTTTTGTTTCGAATCACAAGTTTGGGACTTAATTTCACTTACAAAATAGAACAGTTAAACATGTGCACAACATGTGCAAGAGCTGCGAACAAAGAGTTCAAATTCATCTTCATCGGGGCGGTGTGGTGGCTCTGTGGCTAAGGATCTGTGTCTGTGGCTGGAAGGCTGCCGGTTCCTATCCTGTGGCTGGCAGAGGAATCCTACTCCATTGAGCCCCTGAGCAAGGCCCTTAACCCCAGCTGCTCCAGGGGCGCTGTATTAAAGGCTGACCCTGAGCTCTGACCCCCAGCTTCTCTCCCCGTCTGTGTGTCTCATGGAGAGCAAGCTGGGGTATGGGAAAAGACAAATTCCTAATGCAAGAAAGTGTATAGGGCCAATAAAGTGATCTGATCTTATTGTGAATAAGCCTACGAAGGGTTCGATTGTGAGGACTGTGAGGGAACACAAACCAGCAGGTGGGCGTGGGTCACCAGGACCAGGAATGGGAGCTGCTGATCTAGGCCCTGGAGTGCTCGCCGATGTCTGCGCGGCTGCAGGAGTCTGCCGGCAGAAAGCTCCACCTGCGCTGGCGAGCCCTGAATAATTCAGACACCCTCCTGTGAAGCGAGTGGCACTGTGGGTATTGCCTCACTCCTCAGTGGTCTGAACATTACTGTACACGAAAATCCCATCTCATTCCCTGGGGACAGTTAACACACTTCAGGAGAGTCTAATTAAATCAAAACAACCATGAATCTTAATGAAGGTGCTGTATATTATTAATTATGAAGGCTGGTCTCGAAATAACAAAGGGAACAAAACCTTACTGACGAGCATTTAGCCGTGGCCAATGCATCATGGGACAGTGGTCCAGTTGCCAGGCAGTTCGATCCATCATCATAAAAAAGGAGAGCTTATTTAATCATTCCTCTTAGAAAGATCTACCTCATGTTGGTGAACCTCCTGGGCATGAGCATGCCCCCTGGCACTCCAGCCAGAGTTTGGAGACTCCAAAGCTCATTGGACTGATGAAAGCTTGGAAAGACAACGCGTTACTCTACATTGCAGATTTCTGCCTGCATCAGATTGCCATTGTGTTAAGAGACTCAGAACCCATGTAATTTTCATGTGAAATATATCATCGTTAAAAGCATTATGACCGGATTGTTAGAGCTGTGGAAGAGGATTCTCAAAGGCTCAAGTCCTGCAGTGGTTGAAGGGGAGAGCTCTGGTATCTTCTGATTGGGTCAAGCTGTTCGGAGATACTGGACTTCATCAGAGCTCAAACATGGAGGAATAGAGCTGGACTAAAGTAAGCTGCCCTCCCCCACACTTGATTCTGTTTTGTTATCTTTCCCGTGTAAGGTGATAAAGATTCTAAACAGATTTTCATGGGTTAAAACCACAGAGGGACTTGTGTGAAATTTTAAAATATTCATACGTCCTTTATTAAGATAAGTAATGTAGAAAAAAAAACAGAACTCTTAAGTACTTAGCACTACCTCAACTATCACATCACATTTCAATTCCAGTCACACACAGCAGCTGATTCAAGCAGGTCATCTGTGCTTAGTCTCTATTTTTGTAGTTAACAATTACTTAAGACTGACAAGCATATCTCAGAGCTCCCCAAGTAATACATGTAATTATACACGACAGATATGGCCTTAGTTTCCTTCTTTTATATCTTTTTTTTTTTCTGGAGGATAAGTCATGTGGCTTATTATGAGGTAATGTCTTCCACTTTCCAGAAGTGAAGATTTTACATCAGATTCAAGACAAAGAGCAAGAGGCATAAATCTTGATTTTTGTTTTAGAAAAAGGAAAAGGGCATTTCCCTGATTAATTAGCAGATTATGAGTGTTGTGTCAACGCTTCAGTGTTGTAGTCCTCGCAGTGCCACTCCAGGGCAGCGTTAGGGTGAAGTGCTTAGATCCAGATTGCTCGAGCCACCATAGCTGCTTCACTTTTGAACACAATTAATCTTTCGTTCCCATTAAAGGAACGCTGCATCAGATCCACCAGGAGAAGCGTGTGAGACAGAAGAATCAGTGCTTGGCTGTTAGCAGAGGAGAATAAACTGAGAACTGTACTTAATGCGTCCATGTCTTTTCCCTGTTATATAAAAAGAAACTAATATTTCCTGACCTCCACGACAAAAAAGCACCTCTACAGAATGCCAAAAGGGTGAATCGTAGGGCAGAGCAGTGGCACCGTGGCTCAGGACCTGCGCCTGTGGCTGGAAGGTTGCCAGTTCGTTTCCCACGGCCGGCAGAGGACTCCTACTCCGTTGGGCCCCTGAGCAAGGCTCTTAACCCCAGCTGCTCCAGGGGCGCCGTATGAATGGCTGACCCTGTGCCCTGACCCCCAGCTTCTCTCCCCGTCTGTGTGTCTCATGGAGAGCAAGCTGGGATATGCTCAAAGACAATTTCCTAATGCAAGAAATTGTATATGGCCAATAAAGTGATCTTATCTTATCTCTTATAGGCAGGAAAGTTGGAATTTGTAAACGTGGGAGAAACCTGTTCTGTTCTGTAATGATTCCTTGATATCCTGTATGTTCTGGGCTTCCTGGGCTCCCCTGAACAAAACAATAACTATTTAGCTGCAGTGCCACACTGCTCATTATCTGAAAGTCTATGCAGAACAGTCCCAAACATTATTTCTTGCCTGGAATGTATTGATGTTATTGAGAAAGCAAATAATGTCAAAATAGTCCTCTTGCAATGCAAATAACCTGCTGTTAGTTATACATGTTATTACATTTGTGGGCGTAAATGTGTTTCTGTATATTCATTAAAGACATACTGTATGACAGTGCATTCCTATTCATTTGTCATTTCTGTTTTGAAGTACACCATCAGTTTAATTTGATTTTGGATTTACCAGTTTTCAATGCCAGGATGTCACCTGCTTTTTAAAAGTGGTTTGAGCATCACAAATCACTTAAGATGAAAATGAAACATGCAGGCAGTGCCTTGCTGCTGTACATGTTTTACAGGATAAATTTACGCTGAAGACTTACGCACGTCACTTTATTGTTCTACATTACAAAGTTTAAACAGATTCAAACAGTCTTGGTTAATGGACGTTTCAATAAAGACATTTTAAAAAAACTGAATTATAAATCATTTCTCACAACGGATTTTACAGTAGAGTCCTACTGACTATTTGAGATGTCGAACACTTCCTGCTCCCCAAACAAATACTAAATACAAATGACTCTCGAGATCGGGCAGGTTTAAGTGTAGTATTTTTGAACTAGCGTAGTCTGGAGCAGCGTTAACAGCTTCAGTGGTCTGTGATGGGCTAGCCACTTCTTTAAAAGCGTTTTCAAAGGTCTTATACTGCTTGCTTATATCAACACTCATACTATTTTCCTTGCTTAAAAAATACGTCCATTTGTGACCCTTTTTGTTCCGAATTCAATCCTGTATTGCGGAGAAAAGAGACATTTATGGAACTGTGTCTTTTGAAAGACGCCCCGTAGAATCCTACAAGACAGCACTTAATGATGAAGTAACTAAACTTAACGTGATGTAATCGGGCACACGGGGTGTTAGCAAAGAATTTCAAACGATCCATTCAATTATTACTCTAAAATACCTTAAACCGGTAGGGGAGCGCACGATACAAGTGAAATGTCGTGCATTCTCTCTGTCTTCTCGTTACCAAGTTAGTTTCGTGGAATGCTCGATGAAAACCCGAGATCAGTATTACTGGCAGATTGAACCGGCGAAGACGCTGGGTACTTGCATCGGGGTTAGTTTATGAAACAAAGGTTCGTAACAATTAATAAACTAAAAAAACCCCACCAAACTCTGTAATACGGGGTGCCTACCTTCTTCAAATACGACAGTGATTTGCAAATTCGAGTTTGAATTTCGATGGTGTTTTTTTTTAACATCAGCCGGTTTTATACCTTAGTTTCGCGCAAAAGCGTGTTTCATACTGTGTCTCCGAACGAGCAATCAGTTAACGAGCAGACGCAAGCGGAAAAGACAGTAGAGGCGCCGAACTTCGCCGAATGTCTGGTAACACTGGACGCCTAGAATAAGGCGATGTGCTGCCTCCAGTCTGCACCCTGAGCCTCGGGTCTGGGCAGTTCTCATCTGGAAACAGGTTCATAGTGTGGAATTACCTGGCGAATAACGCAGCGGGCTATTTCGTGCTGCCACAGGCACGAGTCCTATACCAAGAGTGCCACGAATTACACTGAATAGTAACAATTATCGGAAATATTTAACGCTTTCAGTGAAGGTGAGGGATGAATACCACCTTAACAAGAATCAGTTCTTAAATATGTAAAGATGTATGACAAGGGCTTAAGAAAGTCGAAGCGAAGGGACGAACCAGGCTGCCTCTTTGCTCAGGATAAATTATTCACTGCCATTTAGACTCGATATTTGCTATTTCGCTTTCATTCCAACTATTAACATTTAACTTTCCCCGAGCACGGTGAACGCGATCAAGCGGTGGGCGAAGTGCGTGAGGCTTCCTTACCTGAACGGCTTGAACGTCACCAGGCATCTTCTCACCATTATTTTACCGTCCGTGTTCACAGCAATCATTTCCCCAAAAAGCCGAGCGTGCAGCCGAGCTCGGACATCGTACACCCGAATTTCAGTCCTTCGCCGGAGAGACTAAGACGCACGGAGCTTCTAGCTGAAGTGGGCTGGTTCAGGCTGCGATGGAAGAAAATCCTACTATAACGCACCTCCAGAGCCGGGCTACAAATTATATCCACAAGTTTGACTTCGACGGCAATGATTCCCCCCTCCCACCCCAACTCTCCCAGACTTGCTAGGAGCTCAGCGCTTCCTGAGGTTCACAGTGGTATCACTGAAGTGTACAATCGCTCGCTGGTAGACGATGGCATGCCGCTCTGCTTTTGAACCATCAGGCAACCCTGCGCAGTTCACTTTACAGTAATTACGACAGAGCGCCTCTCTACCGCTAACTCGGGCTTGCTTATCCCAGCAAAACAGAGGAGATGCCAGGCGGGAACGTTGAAACAGGATCCATTTGTTACTCCCGGGGGATAGGACATCCCTGCTCTCTCCCAGCTTGTGACCGCGTCAGGTAACAGCACGGGCTCCCTCGGTCTTGCGCCCAGGCAGCGCAGAGAGCGTCTCGCCACAGTTCAGAAAGCTTCGGGCTCTTCAATGAAATACATCCGCTTCGGCTCCTCGCGGGAGGGCTGAGAATTCGCGAGGTATGTCCAATTTATTGATGCTCAGACTGAATCGTCTTTGCGGCGCCATCTACTGCTCGACGTGCTTGTTACACCGAATTCATTGTTACGTTCCCGTTCGGCTCTGCTGTACAGTACATCGTGATGACTGGAAACTACGGAGACTGTACAATATATACACACACACGTTCCTTTGTTTTCCAGGTACCGCTGTCTGATCAAGTGTCAGGAGAGCTGAAGTCTCTTTTTATCAGGCGCAGTGAAAAATGCTCAGATATCAATTGCATTGAACTCTGCATGCCATTTTAAAAGGGTTGCGTACTAGTGGCAGTCGAATTCAATGAGTGGGTGCGTTCAATAATGCAGAATGCCTATTAATCCTGCACTGCAACTTTTTTGGATATATATATATATGGATACATTTCCGGAAGCAACTCTGGACAGAAATACATGTAACTTGTCGATCACGCCGCGAGGATCACTTCGACAGATGCGCATACCGCACAGCAGCCGCGTACCAGGCGACTCGAGAAAGCACCGGCGGACCAGGCGGCCGCTGCAGTGTGATCGCATTCAGCACCAGGGATAGTTCCCTCCGCAGCGCGTCACACCGCCCTTGGCTCGGCTCGCAGGAGCGACGCCTAGTGGTCAGCAGGGGTACTCGCAGGCGTTCTGCGCACAGTTCCCCGGAACGGTACTTTCTGGCGTTTCGCAAGCGGCCCTGGATTTCTTTTTGATGTCGCTATTGATCACGCAAGACGGTCCGCTTCACACGACTCGTCAGCGCGGGGTTCCCTCGCAGTGATGTTTGTTCCAGTGGGGTTGTAGTAGTTACACTGTCTGCCCATCACACACAGTTCAATAACAATCGGCACAGCAAGTAGAAAAATAAAAGAGGTCACAAAGCAAAGTCATCGCACACCATCGGAATAAAAGATACCGCGCAGGAACGGATAAGCGCGGGTAACGGGCAGGAGGTTAATTACAATGTAAGGCTAGCAGGGGAGATAACTCAAATTCACCAGGTAAAAGGCAGAACAGGCCAGGACATTACAAGTAAGATGGCCTTAGTACAACTATTTAGCGACAGGTACAGGAAATGCCGAGTCGCGTTATGTTCAGATGAATGAAACACAGAATTTCACAAAACACCGGCGAAACATTGCTCACGTTTGCATTTGAATCGCCAATCGGGTTAGCACGCTGAAAGAAAGGAAAAAAACACTCAGTGAGCTTTATACTGTAGCTCCGCCAGGCTTTTGCTCGGAGCCCGCGAGTGACCGTTGTGGTGGTCGTTTTTACGCCTCGTCCGCCCTCCCGGCGTGCCGTAATAACGATGATGAATTGACAAAGGCTGGGAGGCTAACGCACACTCTTCGTGCGCAGTTAGTGCAGCACAAAAGACAGAAGGACGGGGGACTGTGTGGTCACCGCAGTGGGTGATCTTGCGTGGATGTTGCAGGCCGTACAGCCCGTGCACACGGAGTTTCCGCCCGTGATTTACCGTACCTGGACTCGAGCCTCGCTATCGCTGCGTCCACAACTCTCTCGGTTCCCGGGTGGGTCTACACTCGGTCACATGAAGGAATCGCACAAATCCTGTACACAATTAACCCCGTCATCAACGGCTTACTTTCCCGCCGTGGTGCTTGTTTTAGAACAGAGTCCAGTAATTGTGAGGGATTAAGGGGGGTTAGGGAGTTTTCTGATGAAAAGGCCCTTTAATACAAACCGAGAATAAAGTAAAAAATGTCATACAGTACATAGTTTTTAAAGTTACGGATAATCTTGGGCAGACTGTAAACCAGCGACACTGGGCTCTTCTTGAAGTGGAGATTACAATGCCAAATGTAGCACAAACATCTCTTGTACATTTGCACAAAACTGAAGTGAAACATTGCATGATTTTGTCCTCCCTACAAAACTACAACAGTTTGCCAGGAAACTAGGGTTACACCCCTACCCTTTCCAAGAAACGCCCCGGGATTTTTAAAAACCACAGAGAGTCAGGACCTTGGCTTTACATCTCATGCAAAGGACAGCGCCTTTTTACAGTATAGGGTCCCCGTCACTGTGCTGTGGCTTAGGACCCACACATACCAGTGGGACCAGTAAGGCAGGCTGAGCACGCCCTCCTGGGCCCACTAACACCTCTTCCAGCAGAAGCCTTTTTCCCAGGAGGTCTCCCATCCAGGTACTGGCCAGGCTCACACCTGCTGAGCTTCAGGGGGCTGCCAGTGGGGAGTTCCAGGGTGATATAGGTGCTGGCTCTATAAATATAAATATAAATGACATTGTGCACATGACAGTAAAACTTTAACATTCTGTCCAGTTCTTTTGCTTTAATCACCTCGGTGTGTTTCTCAGATTAAGTCTGGCAGCATGTTGAAAATGGGGAATTTGAGAAAACGGTCTCTCGCTTATAAGCAGAAAAGCATGCTTATTTTCCCAAGCTTTCTCCACAATTTCTACATTTTCCACCAAAGCAGAAAGCAGGGTCATGCATCTCAGTATTGTGACAACCGTTTTCACGCTACATTTTGGATCAGAATAGTGATTCCAGGCAAACTTTGACTACACACCTCGTTAGGCAGTGGCGTGGAGAATAACGCGTAATTGAAAAAATACGGCCTCAAAACGAAGAGACCTACCAGTCAGATTAGCTTTGCCAAAGCCTGCTTGTTCAGATGTCTTGAAAACAAAATCCATATACTGTGCAACAAGAGTAGAAAATACAAAAATCTGCATCCCTCTGATAAAAGTATGATTGTGTTCTATATATTTACAGTACATCTGCCACTTTTGTTATTTGCAAACCATCAAGGTGTCACCTGGACAGATTCTTTTAGATTGTTCTCTGCAGGGAAAAAAGGAGAACACAGAGTCGTGGGTCTGGGTGTGAATGCATAACCAAATTTAATTTCAGCCATTTGTTGTTAGAAGTGGCTGGTGATTTCTTAAGCCTCATATTATTAACTCCCCAGATTCTCTATTGTACATCACACCTTTATTCTGCACCCTGCAATCTCTGTTTCAAAGGAAAACTCATTTGCAGTCTCCACCATGCTGCTCAATAAAGAAACCTGTTTCCAAAGAAGGAGCTTTTCTGAGACTAGGAAGTGTTTAGATAAAGATTCAATTCTCCATTGCCTCTCTGCTGATTTTCTAACTTTTAATCAATTTTAAAAAAAATAACTTTACTCACTAGCTTTTAATGTTTGTGTTTGTGTCCTTGTTTGCTCTGAGGCAGTTGTTACAGGAATGACTGAACAAGGTTTCCAAACACAGGTGTCGCGACAGATGGCCCTCTGCTCTTTTAATTGTGACATTAATTACGCAGAATACCAAGATTCATCACTTCACAAAGTGTCGCCTTCTTGCACAAAATGAAAAAAGAATCTTCTGAGTCAAGACTACTGAAGGATTGTGTTTTTTTGAAGTTTCATTCCGTTTTCCCTCTTTCGCATTTTCAAAGCTTATCAATTGATTAGGGACCAAGTGCTCACTTTGGGTTCCTTTGAAAAGAACGAAATAGGAAGACGGCTAATTTCTAATCTTTACAGTGGGTTTTACATAGCGGCCCTTGTGCAAAGTGATTACATGACTCCACAAAAAGAAATTACCCAGGCAGTCGGAGCTGTGGAATTAGCAGTCTGTGGATGTGGTTCCTGCACAGGTGCGATATAGTTGTTTTGAAAACAACACTGTTTGGGGGCTTTTGAAGAGAAAAGCAAATTGATTTGCACACCATAGCTGTGGTTTAGGCAAGTCAAGCTTAATTTTAACAAAGCATGTGAGAGGTACAAAGCAATAATGCAGTTTTATCATTCAATTTCAGCTTTTTGTAGTTTGTGCATTAAGCCTTTGTGTGGCCCGAAGAACAGAATATGAAAGGTTAATGGGATCTCTGCTGTATGTACTAGGACTGCTAATGACTGATTTCCCTTTTAAGATTATATTCCAGCATGTTGCATATAAAGATAACTGACAGTTTTTTTTTTAAAGAAAATACTCACAGAATTGCAGTAGAATGATAAGTAAGCTGCAGCTCAGGGTATTCCTGGGACAAGTGTGTCTGCAGACTTTGGAGGTCTCTCCAAAACAACAGCACCTGAAGAGCTGGGAGAAGCTGTTCAATCGGTCCAGTTAAGCCAGGAACCAGTTGGTTTAGCTTGTTAGGAGCAGAGCTGGAATGAAAACCTGCACATGCTGTACTGTACCATGGCCCACCAGGCCCAGGAGTGGACACCCCTGCTGCAGAGATGAGTTGCTTTGCAGCAGCAGACTCAAGAGGTCATGTGATGCCACAGGGTGGCGTTGCTGAAGAGAGGTGGTATGATGGTCTGGTGCATCAATGCTTTGTTAGCATCCCTCTGCACCTGGATGACATCCAGTAAGCTTTGTCTAGGCAATATGTGAAAGAAGCCTCTTAGCAAAACAAAGGTCAGAGATCTGTACTAGGTTCAAGACCATGAAGAATATTGCCACGAGCAGAGTGTTTGCATTTTTAAGATGACTAGAGGTTTCTATGATAGGATGGAGTAGACTTTTTATTTCTCTTAAAGTATACATACAGTACATTTTTGTAAAAAAAAAACATTCATATAGCACAAATTGAAATCAAAAGGTTGATCACCTCATGGTTCAGCAGAACATCTGTTGAATTTTTTTTTTCCTCAGGGAGATAAGACTCTAGAATAACATGGGCATCTTCAATTGTAATAAAAGGATGAATGAGGCATCCAAAAATAACATCTATCCGGTTTTAAAAACTTAAATCTCTGGTAAATATTCAAATTATGTATCATATTGTCTATAAAAATCCCAGTGATTCCAAAACACTGCAATTCTTCTGTGAAATATAAAAATTGGATGGATTTAGACATCAAAGCTCAGATAAAATTTACAGTACAATCTAGACAAACTAAAGATAAAGCCCTTAACACCAATGTAAAGCTTAGTGCAATAAAAAAAAATTGAATTAGGATGGGGTTTTTTTCCACAGGGAGGAATATTAATTAAGAAACAGCTCCGGGTACATTAATTTAAAACTAAAATGAAACAAATTAAAATGAAGTGCTGAGGTCAAATGAGAAACTGTAAAAGTAGAGTAAGAAGGGCTCTTGTGGATCACTATGAAACATTTAATAAGCATTAAGTCATTAACTCTTCCACACATTAAATAAATACATAAAATTACTCTAGAAATCAAGATATCAAAAACACAGTGGGCCAGATACGAACTGCCAGCTGTGAGCAAATCGCCCATCTCATTCAATCACTGTGGAGAGGGCAGTTTTCCCATGGTTTGTCTGCAGGAAAACCAAAGGTCATGTTCTGATCTTATTCAAACAACAGTGGGCACAATGTATATTTGATATTTAACTTCATGAAAGCGACTCTTGAACAGTTTAACATAAAAATCAATTAAATCTAGGTACTGTAATCAATTGCTCACAGGATACATTCATTTGCATCACACACGAAGAGTCTTAGATATTGTCATAATGTTCACAGGTAGCCAAGAAGCAGATCAGTCAACAGATGCCTCAGCAGGACA